TGTTCTTCCAGGTTGAGAAGTTCCGCTTTTCCATTTAGCATTTCTTTCCCTGGCAAACGTTTTTGATGTTTTACAGCAAACCTGTGTTTCCAGTCTTCACCGTGTTTCAGTCTTTTCCAGCCTCAACATCCTTCTCTGTTCCATTATTCCATGTGCACCAGTGATAACCCAGTGGTTTATTTTTATTTTTGTTATTTTTTTTTAAACAAAATTTCACAGTTCTGTCATGTTAGGCGCTTTTGTTTTCATTGTGATTTATATATAACGTACGGTTACATTGGGGAGTGACTGCAAGCGTTTTTCCATCTGTGGGCAACTGGCTGTGATTATCAGTCCCCTTCCAGCCCTTTCCCGGGGAATTTAAATTGGTCATGGCAGGTTTGGTTCATAGATTTGAACGGTTTTCAGGTTGTTAGCGAAGTTTGGAGGATACATCTGGGAAAGCGGTTTTATTTACATTTTAGTGTGATGGCCACCACATGACAAATTTTTGTATTTTTCAAAATTACACTAAATGAAGGTTTTCTGATCTGTACTTTGTGTTTAGCTATCTTTTCTATTTAAAAATGAAAAATAAAAGTTCTGTTCTTACTAGCTTAAAGCTTGATTTAATCTTTGTTTAAATGCCAAAACTGTACTTAACTGAATTATTTAGAATGCCGTAAGTTTGCACAGTTTCATATGTGTATATAATCATGTTCACGTGTATTTAGATACATACAATGCCTTCGAAATGAGTTTTGCTCTTAAATCATTTGGCTTGCTGTTTACTCCCTTTTGTAGTTTTTAATCTAAGGAACTTTAAGTCTAAACTGAAAAGTTATCACATTTAAAGCTTTCTCTTTGTGCAATCTGAGTATATGTGAGAAACCACAACCGGCATAATTTGTCTTAGTTGATATTCAGGGCTTTAGAAGTCATTGTTTCCGGGCGTGGTTAAGTGAATTTAAGAGATTTATTGCTCTAGAAAGTACAGATGGCCAAAGGACCATTTTGTATTGTTCCCTGGTTTACTAGTCTGGTTATACTGTGTGTGCTGATATACTCTATTCTTTTTGTTATAGATTGTCTTAACGGTAGGTCAAGTAATAAAAAAAAACGAAATAATTTACATTCTTAAATGAATCGGTTTTTATTCCCCTTTTCCTTTCCTTGTCTTCTTCCCTCTCTCCCCCAGAAACTTTGAAATCTGGTGGGCAAGAATGAAAATCAAGTGAATTATGGGATTAGTGTTTTGAAGGGATTATGTGTGTTTTCAACGTTTTCCAATTCAGTTTGTTAACGAAGGAGTCCGAAATCCTTACTCGAAGCATAATTGAGTTGTTAGCCAACCTGTTCACTGAGTAATAGAAGGAAAAGGTTAACTCAGAAGCCGAAACATTTCCTTTTTATTTGAGACAAGAGTGGTTCTCTGCCCTTGGAACTTTCCCAGAGCTCACGGGAGTCGTCATTTCTGTATCAGCATACTCTGTGGCTTGAATTCAATACATGCATTTGGCTATTTAGGTATGCTTCTATATATTTTGCATTCATGGAGTCTTAATTCTGCTACTCCTCAGGTTTCTGAGACGATTCAGTTGTACTCATTAGTTTATTGGTATTAATGTCTTCACATCCAGTGAAGATGTGTCGTATTCCCGAACATTCTTTAATTTGTGCCGCTTTGTACATGCACACTTTGTCCTGATTTAGTAGCCCCTTCCCTCAGCCCCCTGGAGGCGGAGCATGTAGAGTCACCACAGAAAAGAACTGAAGAGAACTTCCTTGGATTGACTGCGCTGATTCTGTTCTCATTCTTCTAGAACACTGGCTCGTGTGGAATTGTTTTTTGTCTGTTGCTGACTTAGATGCTGACATTTTAGAATTGGAGGAGCATGATGATCATTTTCTTTAAAAAATTTTTTTAAATGTTTATTTGTTTTTGAGACGGAGACAGAGTGTGAGTGGGGGAGGGGCAGAGAGAGGGAGACACAGAATCTGAAACAGACTCCAGGCTCTGAGCTGTCAGCCCAGAGCCTGATGTGGGGCTCGAACCCACGAGCCGTGAGATCATTACCTGAGCCGAAGTCGGACGCCCAACTGACTGAGCCACCCAGGCTTCCCCAGATGATCATTTTCTTAATCCTGCTTTATCGCTGGTCATGGATTAATAACGGAATCCTTTCTTGTATTTTTGTTAGGCCCCGGCACTGTGTTTCTAGACGGCTAAAACAGCACCGAAATGCAAAGGCCACATCGCCATTTAATGCCCCCCCTAAAGTGAGCTATCCTAACCACTACCAGTAAAAAGGGAAAATCTTAAACCTCTCCCTTCTTACCCTGTGGAACTTTCACATAGAGATCGGTATTGTTGTGTACATTTAAAGTTTAAATTTGTTAACGTAAGTTCAGAGCTGTGACTTCATCCCGGGTCAACCTAAAACCCAAACCACTAGCGAGTGTAATCTTTCTTGTTTTGTGCCAAGTTCTGCCAATTTAGCTTAAGTAGCTTTGTGATTCTCCAAGTCGCCACTAGATGGAGAGCTTTTTTTTTTTTTTATCATCTTGGTTAATCTCAAATGAGTTACACCGTTGGTCCTTGTATATTCGTGGTGGTGTATTTGTGAATTCTGCAGATTTGCCTACCGGCTAAAATTTGTGACCCCCCCCCCCCCCAAGTCGGTACACGGAGCACCTTCCCTGTCATTCGGGGACATGGGCGGAGGGGCAAAGACTTTGATTCTCCCAACATGCGGGTGCCCAGCTGAGCTTGAACAAAGGGATGCTCTGCCTTCTGGTTTCGGCTCTCACACTGTCATCACATGTCTGTTTCACGGTCTGTTTAGTGCTACTCTGGCAGTTTTGCGCTTTCTGTTGGTGACTGCACCATTTGAAATGGCCCCCAAGTGTAGTGCTGAAGTGCTAACTAGTGTTCCTAAGGGCGGGAAAGCCGTGATGTGTGTCTGGTGGGGAAAGGAAGTGTATTAAGCCGCTTCTTTCAGGCATGAGTTGCAGTGCTGTTGGCCACAAGTTCGGTGTTGTAAACCGACAACGCATAGGATGGTGTCTTCAACACACGAGTCAAGATTATGTATTGAGTTGTTTACAAAAGTGTCGCCACTAGAGGCTCCTGGGAATCTACCCCGTGTGTCCTCTAGGAGCGGATGATTCAGTCTCCACCAATTTGGCGTCTGCGGAGACTTTATGGACCGTAAAACTACCACGAGTAAGAGAACCCACTGCACTTTCTCCGGTCTTCGAGCTCCGATTGTCCTGGCTTTTGCGCAGGCTCAAACAAATTCCTTCCAACCCCTTCCTCTCCCAATTCATGTACAGTGTCCTTTCACTTTTCAGTTCGTTGTCCATAGTAGTGTGAAAAGTTTTTACAAAGAGAGGGGAGAATTTTTGTGTTAGGGGAAGTTGAACAGTGGCCCAGAATGGACGTGTTGGAAGAACCTGACCATCGTAAGAGAGGAGCCTTTTTGCTTTCTGGTATTTTTGACATTGATGCAGTCTTGTCCTCCGCATCAGTGAAAAAATAATGGAGCGTTGAAGCAAATAATTAGATCTCTCCGTACCCTACGTATTGTAGTCAAACTGATTGCTGTTACTCTTAGTTTGTAAAATGCACCAAAATTTATCACAGGCCATTCTCACACCAGCGCACTGTCCTCAGCGTGGCTGGGTTTGACACGGGGCTGTGGCTTGCCTTCCGCAGGCTCTGCAGCTCGACATCCCAGACTGTTCTGTGCTATTCTTGGAACATCTTTGCCTGCATATTTTTTTCTGCCATCCTGTGTGCGGTGACCTGGTCCCTCTACCCAAAGGAAACCCCGTGTTGAAGTAGGAGACAGTCCATCAAGTGGGAAACCCTGAGCCGTAGTAGAGCCCTACCATGATGGAAGTCTCTGGGGTGAAGGTTCTACGAAAGGGTTCATTTTCTCCGGAAACAAACACAACTTCACAGACTGACATACCGTTGGGTTTCTGTGTCACAGTGGGAAGAACACCCGGGAGTTGGTTTAAATCATTCACTGGCGTGATATGAGTTAATCTCTCTGAGACCATTTTTTCCTGTATACATTGGAGGGTCAGGGGTTTCCCCTGTGTGTTCGGGAGTCTCGGAAACCTGTTTGTTGACTCTCCTAACCCAAGCTCAGCGAATGTCACAGAGACGCAGGTTTACGGGGACCAGCTGGGTCAGAAAGACCCGTGTCACTGTCCAGTGAGGAGGGCTTGGGTGACCTTTCCGGTTCCTGACCTGGGACCTGCTTCACTGACAGCTTTCAAGTCCCCCTCCCCCCTGCCCAGGTCCTCCCACCCCCCCTCACATTTCTAGAATTGGAATCTCTGGCCTCAGAGAAGTTGATGTGATCAAGGCAGCCATTTTTACTTGTGGACTGACTGATCACTCCCACAGGAGGACCACGTTCCTGTCATTTGGGTTTTCAGACCTGACTTAGGGCACGTGAAACAGAGCCTCCGGTGACAGGCCTCTTCAACGTGGGCGAGTCAGCAGGGAGAAAGCTGAGGGGACGCGACCCCTATCTACTCAACTTCTAAGGGAGGCTTCGAAAGTCAACTCAATTTAGTCCTTTTTGGATAAAGCAGCTGGGGAGGGGCGTCCAGAGCGTCAGACCTGTCCAGAGAGCCCCCTGCCTCTCGGGGACCAGGAGGGTGACAGGTTCTGGGATCTTTTGGAAAAGAGGATTGTGGGGGAGGGGTGGGCCCTGGCTTTTCTCCTGCCGGAGTACAGGCTCATGCACGTGCCGGGCCCATTCCGGTGCCGTTCCCCCTTCGGGACGGCCCTGCTTTTCCCCTCACTGAAGTTCCTTCTATTGTTGCCGGACGCTAATTTTGACGTACCTGACGTCCTTTCACTTGAGATTTAAATACTCTTCAGATTGAACACATCCCCTTTCAGATATTCTGAGCAAATTCCTATGTTCTTTCTACCTCTCGTAAGAACGTTGGAGAAACTACTTTTGGACCAGCCAGCCAGGGATTATTCTATCACGTGGGCCACAGTGACTGGGACATAAATAGAAAGGGTTAGGTCTACTTTGAACCGGTTGGAGAGCTACCATTTTTAGATTTTTTGTTTTTTTTTTTTGTTTTTTTGTCTGCTTGTGAGATGCCAGGTATTTTATCTGGATCAGAAATTATCCTCGTAGATATTCTAAGGATCTGGAGGTCAGCTAGGTGCCACTGGTGTCCTTTTATTTTATTTGTTCTACCCTTTTCCTGGGGACAAGGCTTCCCGGCCTTCCAAGCCCGACTCCTGTCCAGATTCCCCTGGTGGGTTCAGGAGCTGGTCTGTGGTCTTGATGAAGCAGTGCCTTCTGGGAAAGAGGGAGCCAAGGAGGTGCCCTAGAGAAGCAGTGCACCGAGGAAGTTCGGCGGATCCCTCTCCTTTGGGTCTTGCTCCTGTAGAATCATCCTGGTGCCCCAGGACTTCCTGACCCAGCGCCTCCCCCCTTGACGGGGGTGCGGGGAAGCCGGGGTCCGCACCCGAGTCCACCGCCGGCCGCAGGCGTCGTCCCTGACACGCGGCTTCACCCGGCCCCTAGCTTGTCGGGTTAGCCCGGCCAGAGTCCGGGGCCGACTCTCCTGCGGGGTCACTGGCAATGACGCTCTGCTCTCCGTGGGCCTCCACACACCCCTTCACTGTCTGTAGGATGATTTGGAGTCTCCGGTCCAGGGCCAGCAGGTGGGGCTCCGTGAGGACGGGGCTGAGCTCGTCTTCTAGCAAAGACTCCCGCATCACGTCACTGAGTCTGTAGTCGCCTTGGGCCAGCAGCTGCAGGTGCGAAAGCGTTTTCTTTTTTATCCTGGAAGGACAAAGTCAGAGGGGGCAAGTTAAGTAAACGCAAAGGGAAAAGCCTGCCTGAACTCGGTTCCCCGCAAGCAGCTGTTGTAGCCAATGTCCTGGGAGCCGCCTTCCCCGGGGTCATTTTGAGCCCATTTTCATGAAAACCAGGGAAAAGGAAATAAGCCGCATTGAATGGCATCTCAAGGAGATTTAAAGCCAACGAGAGAAACTTCTGGCAGGTGACATGACGAGGACGTTTGCCATCTCCAAAGCCAGCCTCCAGGTTGTTCCTTGCCAACTTTATACGATTTCTCTGTGTCAGGTTCTTGGAGGGATGGCAATGGGGTGGAACCAATCCGGGCTTTAGGAATCTGAGTTCTTCGTATGTGGGGATCCGACTTGCACTCAGATGTGTAAGCAGCTTAATTGTCCGACTGGCTTTCTCAACAGCCACTGCCTGGCCTGAGGAGGACAGGGAGGGATGGAGGGAGGCACGCTTAAATGAAGCTAGGAAGCAGATAAAGAACATGCTTCGCTCTGAGTTTCCCAGCTGGAGATGAAAGGTGGTTTTGCTAGGCGCGCGTCTCGGGATTTCTAGTTAGATCTGGATACCGCACCTGAGCAGGTGGGCCATTTCACGAGCCTGACCTGAGCCCCGGAGAGGTGTGGAGGCGGGTTAGACATTCTCTAGAGAACGGCGGCCGCACAAAGTCTAACTACCTCCTTTCAACCTGACGTGAGTTTATGG